CATCCCAGTGAGACCCCCAACCATCCCAGTGAGACCCCTGACTGTCCCAGTGTGACAGGAACACTTTCAGCACCCTGCCGGGGGCAGCAGGGTGAGACCTCGGCTGTCCCAGTGAGACCCCCAATCCATCCCAGGGAGACCCCAAGCCATCCTATTTTGGGGACCCCAAGCCCTCCCTGCTCTGGGGACCCTGAGCCTCCAGTCCTCCCCATTGTGGGCGTCCCAAGCTCCTCAGCCTCCCCGAGCCCTCCCTACCATGGGTGTCCTGAGACCCAAACCCTTCCCCCTGTGGGGGTCCTGAGACCCAAACCCTTCCTGCTGTGGGGGTCCCGAGCCCCCAGCCCCCTGTCCCAGCTACCGGTAGAGCTTGAGGGTGATGGTGCCGTAGACGATGGCGAAGCCGAGCATGCGCACCCAGCGCAGGACGATGCAGCGGAAGATGCTCGGCTTGAAGTACAGGATGAACACCTGGAGCACGGGAGAGAGGGATCCGGGCTGGATCCCACCTGCCCCAGCCTCGGGAGCCCCCTGCTTTCCAGGCCAGCTCTGTGCCACCCTCCCCCGTGACCCTGCAGCACCCGCTGCACTCGTGCGGGAGGGAGAGGGGATTTGGGCAGGGATTAATTCCCGCAGGCAGCGGGAGGAAAGGGATTTGGTTTTCTGAGAAGGTTTATACGGCAGCCCCCAGGGACCGTGGCAGCAAAATTAACAATTAGATGGAGCCGTGCCCTGCGTGGGGCAGCTCCATCCTGGAAACCCCATCCTGGAGCTTTCCAGCCCTGGGGACAGCTGGGGACTCACAGGGAAGTAGAGGAGGAGGGAGCCGAAGAGGATGGTCTCCAGCAGGATGATTCCCGATGTGCGGATCCTCTGCAGGGATACCAGCGTGAGGGTGCAGCCTCGGAGGGGCCAGGGCAGGGGGATCCCCGACCCTGCAGGGTTTGGGGTGGCAGCGGAGCACGGGGACACGGGGACAGCTTGCCTTGCTCCGTCGGAAGTGGTAGGACACGAGCATGCTGAGGAAGATGGCCAGCATGCAGCAGGCCTGGCACGACAGCACCGCTGCCCGCAGCACCTGGTCCTCCTGGATCAGGCAGGGCGCGTCGTCCTCGCAGGTGGCACAGCCCGGGCGGCACGGCCGGCACCCCAGCCGGGACCCCCCGTCTGTCCCTGCCACGCCTGGGGACAGAGCGATGACCGGGTGGGATCGTGGCATTGGGGTGGCATCAGCACACCCAGGGTGGCATCAGCACACCCCAGGGCCTGGTGGCACCCCCCACACCAGGGCACGTGCTCTGTGTCCCCAGAGCCCCCCAGCCCTGGCCCCCGCTGCTGTATCCGTGTGCCACTGGGGACAGCAGGGACAACCCACCTGCCCAGGCACCGCTGGCCACTCCATCAGTCCCATAGAAACCCGGCTTGCACCTGCACAGGTACCTCCCGAGGACGAAGCCGCGGCTGTCCTGGGGGACACACTGAAGGACACAGCCTGAGACACGTCCCCCACACCCTGCGTCCTCTCTGTCCCCAAATCCCCCCGCCCCAGGGGCTCCAGCAGCCCCCAGCTCACGGCTACCTGACCCCACGCCATCCTCCCCCAGAGCCGCGAGGAATCAGTGGTTAAACATTTCAGAATTAAAACCCGAAGCTTGGCCCCAAATCCCTCCCTAAAACCTAAATGGACACCTAATGCAGCGAGCGCCCTAATCCTGCCCAGCCGTGACGGCAGCCTGGGCCCGGGCCCCGCTCCCTAATCCCCCCCGGCCGCCTCCTGCCCCGGCGGCCGCGCTGGCGGCTCCCTGGGCATTGTTGTTTCCTGGAGGGATGCCCGGCCCCGGGCCCGGCCCTCTGGAAGGCATCGCTGGTAGGAAACAGGAGCTGGCGACGCCTTTCCCACCTGGGGACAGCTCTGGATGGACCCCGAGGCTGGGGGGCTGCGGGTTCGCCCTGCCCGGTTGTGCCCAACCCGAAACGCTCGGGCACCGCTCGGGCTCGGCTGCAGGCACCGCGGTGCTGCTGCCACCGGCTGCCAGGCCCCGCGCCCACCGTGCCCGCCGTGCCCGGGCACGGAGCAGCCGGGTCACACGGCGCGGCTGGCGGTGGGGAGGGAAGATTTGCACAATAAACCTCTCACCGCGGTGCGAGAGCAGCTGAGCGAAGCAGATGGATCGCTCGGAGAGGATAAAGCTCAGCCCGGAGGGGGGACAGGGGCACGGGCAGCCCGGCCGGGCTCCGGGGGTGCTGGGGTGCGGGGTACCCCGCTCCTGGCGGGGCAGGGTGGGGTGCGGGGTGCCGGGGCGCGGTACCTGGGTGCTGTTGAGGTCACAGCGATGCGTGTCCGAGAACCAGCCCGGCCCGCTGGAGCACTGGTCGATGGCCACGTCCCGCAGCTCCACGTCCACCCGCACGACCCCCCTGTGGCCAGGGACGGGTCAGCCCAGGGGGGGAATGGGGCCGTGGGCTTTGGGACTGATCCCAGCCGAGCCTTCCCTCCCCACTGGCTCCCCGTGCACCGGGGTGCAGCAGGGACCCCCCAAATCCCGGGAGGGGTCCCAGCCCGGCTCACCCACCCCCAGCACAGCAGTGACAGGGGGTGGCAGAGCACGGTGGGCAGCACAGGGGACACCAAGGGGGGAACAGGGAGTCACCCCCGTGCCCGGGGACGTGTACAAACCCCTGCACACCTGCAGGCACACAGAGAGGAACACGGGCAGGGTGCTGGGGACACCGCGGGGTGGGTGACACATCCAGCTGCACCCCCAGCACACACACGGGGCACCCCCACCCCTTCCGACACCCCCCGACCCCCTCCGGGCCCCACTTACTTGAACTCGGGGCTGAGGTCGGGCTTGAGGCCGTAGAAGGCGGAGGAGAGCGTGACGGCCCAGGCGGGCAGGAAGCGGCCGTCGCGGCACTCCAGGAACGGCGGCGACCAGCGCACGTGGCCCGCGTCCCCCACGTAGCTGTCGCCCCGCTGCCACTTGGGGGTCTCCAGGCTGCGCAGGTCATTGCTGAGCACCCGCTTGCGGAGCGCCGGCGCCCGCTGCGCCTTGAGCGCGTTGAACCACTCGTTGTCCCAGCTGAGGTTGCCCAGGCTGGGAGCGGCGCCGGACACGTCCTGCAGCAGGATCTGCCCGTCCCCCTTGGTGGCCTGCAGCATCAGTCGCGGCTTGGGGGCCAGCGGGTGGGCGTCCAGGGCCAGCACCGCCCTGCGCACCCACGGGTGCCCCTCGGCCAGGCTGCGCACCAGCGCCTGGTACCACTCCACGTCCTCGGCCACGCTGGCCTCGCGGATGTCGTTGGTCTGGAAGAGCATGTTGAGGAAGTTGGCGGCGTGGGCCAGCGCCTCGGGGGCGGCTCGCAGGGCCGCCCGCAGCGCCGGGGGGGGCCCGGGCCCGGCGGCCCCCGCCGCGACGCCGCCGCTGCAGTTGGCCCGGGCCAGGCGCTCGGCATCGCCCGTGCGCAGGAACGCCAGCGCCGCCGCCGAGCCCTCGCCGTCCGCCGGCGCTCCCGGCCCCGCGGTGGGCGCCCACGGGGGCGAGGGGGCCGGGGACCATCCCGGGGGTCTCTCCTGCGGGCGCTGCCCCGCCGCGAGCGCGGCCACCTGCACCAGCACGGCGCGCAAGCCCCAGAGCAGCGGCCAGCGGCGCGGCCCCATGGCCGGGGCTCAGCGGAGCCCCCCGGCCCCCGGCGGGCCCCCCGGCCGGCGCATGGCGGGCAGGGACCCCGAGCCGCCCGGAGCCCGCCCCGCGCTCTGCCGCCCGTTCTTCTCCCTCGGCGATGCCGGAGCAGACGTCACCGGCTCCAAACCGTGCTCAGGGCTGGCGCTGCCCGGAGCCCCCCCGCCCGCCCCCGCGCTCCCGCTCTGGCGGCAGCGCTGCCCGCAGCCCCCCGGTCTGAGCCCCGTGGGCGCCGCGCACCGAGGGCGCCCCGCGCCCCGGCCCCTCGGGCTGGCCGTGATGCAAGCGCATCCTGATGGGAAGCCATGGCAACCGCAGCCGGAATTTTCCTGCCCGTGTCCCCCTCCCCGCGGCCCCTCTCCAGCCGGGGGAACGGGGCACCCGCGGGGTCCCCGTACGGTGGCGGGATCCAATCCCGCAGTGCCCGGTCCCCCCTCCGGGCCATGGGGTGGGAATGGGGGTGGCACCCACGGGGGTGTCCCTGTGGGGCTGGGGGCGCTGGGTGAGGGCAAGAGCGGGGTCTGAAGCCCACCCCCAAGCGCGGAGGGATGTCCCGCGCAGCAGAGCCGGGGTGCAGAGGGGAAACTGAGGCACGGAAGGGTGCTCACTTTCCTTGCTCAAGCAACCATGACCTTCCCCAGCCCCAACCCGTGGGGAGGTGTGGGGAGAGCCGGTCCCCGTCCCCTCTGCTCCGGGTGGGACGCGCTGCCCGCCAGAACCGGGCAAGAGCCGCGCAGGGCTCGCGGTACGAAGCGCCGCGTGCCCGTGCCTCAGTTTCCCCGGCCGCATCCCCCGGTCCCGGAGCGGGGGGTGAGTCCGAGGGGTCACGGCTGGAGCTCCGTGTCCGGGAGCTCTCGCTGCCCCCGGCCCCGCCATCCGTGACACCCCCGTGCCCGTGGGTGCCGGGACCGGGCTCGGAACCGCTCCCGCCCGTGGGTACCGGGCACTCGGAGCGGCTCCCGGGGCTCGGAGCGGGTCCTTCCGTGGGCGCCAGAGCCACCCTTGGGTTCCGGTGCCGCCGGTGGGCGCGGAGGCTCGGAGCGGCTCGCGGGGCTCGGTGCGTGTCCCGAGGGTGTCCCCGCGCCCCCTGCACGTGCGCCCGGGGGGCTCGGGGGCGCGGCCTCCGCGCCGGGGCGGGGCCGCAGCCGCCGGGGGAGGCGGGACCGGCACCGGGGGGCGCGGCCAGCAGCGGAAGCGCGGGGGCGGGGCGGCGGCGGCGGCGGTGGCGAGGGGGGGCGCCGCGGCCGTGCGAGGGCGGCGGCGGCGGCCGCCGGTGCCGGTGCGCTCCCGGTCCCCGCGGGCCATGCGGCGGCCGTAGCCATGCAGCGCGACGGGGATGCGGCGGCGGCCGCCGCGGCCTCGTACCGGGTGCTCAGCCGCCTGCTGGGCTATGGCACCGGGCCGGAGGCGGGCGCGGCGGGCGGCGCCGGTGCCGGTACCGGCGCGGCGGGCGCGGGGCCCGGCGGCGGGGGGCGGCTGCCGGGGGCCGGGCCGGCGCTGCGCAGCCCGCGGCCGCAGCTGATGGTTTTCCGCAACGCGGCGGCCGAGGGCCGGCCCGGCGAGGACTGCGGCCCGGTGGCGGCGGCGGCGGCGGCGGCGGGCGGGGGCGTCCCGGGGGGCGGCGGGGCCGAGCTGTGCCCGCGCCACCGCTGCGCGCTGGAGCCCAAAGCGGCGGCGGGCTGGGGAGCGGCGGCGCAGAGCGGGCTGGAGCTGCAGCTGGCGGCGCTGGGGCTGCGCCCGCCGGGGCTGGGGGCCAAGGGGGCGGCGGGCGCGGCGGGCACCCCCTGCCCGTGCCTCGGGCCGCCCGCCGGCGAGGAGACCAGCGATGCGCTGCTCGTGCTCGAGGCGCTGGAGCCCGACGAGGGCGGCAGCGGCTCCGAGGACGAGCCGGGGTCCCCCGGGCGCGGGGCCGCCCGTGCCGGCGGCAGAGCGGCAGCCCCGGGCCCCGCGCAGCCGCCCGCGGGCACCGGCCCCGGCCCCTGCGGCAGGAAGGGCTCGCTCCGCATCCGCCTCAGCCGCCTCTTCCGCACCAAGAGCTGCAGCGGCGGCTCGGCCACCGGGGACGCCGCCAGCGCCGCCGCCTCGGCCGGGAGCCTCACGGATGTGTGCGGGGCCCGCGGCCGGGAGCAGGAGCCGGGCAGGTACGGGGGCACCGGGCTGGGATGGGGGGATGCCGCCGGGGCAGCGCGGGGTGCGGGCCGGGGTGTCCCGGGGCCGTGCTGTGATGCTCTCCCGGAGGGGGATGTGGGGCTCCGGGGCCATCCCGCCCCGCGGGTCCCGGTTGGGATCGAGCTCTCGGAGCGGCTGCCGAGGCCTCGTCGCTCACTCGGGAACGCTGGAGCCCGGGAGAGGCCGGCGGAGCAGGGTCGCGCTGATCCAGGCCTGCAACCCTGATGGGAATGGTGGTGAAACCTCTGGGAGCGGTACCGGGAGCGGGGCTTGGAGCATCACCCCCGTGAGGAGCGGCTGAGGGGGCTGGGGGTCCCAGGCTCTGCCGCTGTGGGGGCTCAGCTCTCCCCTCCGTGCAGGAGGAATCATTGCCAGCCCCAGCTTGGCTGGGATGGAGGCAGAAATCCCGGGATATCTTGGTGTGGGGCCTCACAGGTCCCTCCTGTCCCTCACCTCTGTTCCAGCAGGGCAGGCGCTGCTTCATGCCAGCTATGGCTGGTCCAGGGCCGCTCCATCCCTGCTTCCCAGAGCAGCTCCATCCCTGCTTCCAGAGCTGCTCCATCCCCGTTCCCAGAGCAGCTCCATCTCCGTTCCCAGGGCAGCTCCATCTCCGTTCCCATGGCAGCTCCATCCCCACTTCCAGGGCAGCTGAGAGGGTGCTGAGTGGGTCCTGAGATGGTGCTGAGTGGGTGCTCAAATGTTGCTGAGTCGATCCCGAGTCCGTCCTGAGTGGTGCTGATGTGGTGCTGAGTGGTGCTGGAGGGGTCCTGAGGGGCGGCCGCTCCCACCCGAGCCGCGCTGCCGCCGTCTCCGTGGACGCTGAGGGCCGTGCCCCTCCGCAGCGTGTGCGGGACGCGTGGCCGGGCAGAACTGGGGATGGGAGCCCTCGGTGTGAAATAAACAGGGCAGGAGACTTTTTATCCTTTTAAAGCCTTTATTAAAAGTGATCAGCTCACGATTGGGAAGCCCGACGGAGCTGCGGTTCCCGTCGTTTCTCTCAGGGTGACTCGGAGGAGTACAATACACACAGCTTTGCCCACCGGGGGCAGAGCTGCGAGTCCCATCCTCGCGCGAGCTTTGGGCGTAACCCTGATCTCGACGCTCCACTGGCTCCCGGCTCCAGGTCTTGGTTTCACATGAGATCTTTCTCCGGGAAGAAGAGCCATTAACTTAGTCCTAGCCGGGGCCTTTTCTGATACAAAAGGAGCCATTTACTGCAATGACTTGTGATTATAACACCAAACAGGTAGCCCTTCACTTTGCCATCAACTCCTCAGACTGGTTTCGCAACTCTTTTTTTCCACAAAAAAAATTGGCAGTTTTTTGTTTCTGACAGGTGCGTACCGGGGCTCGGTGTGTACCAGGTGCCTGCTGGGTGCGTACCTGATTGTGTGCTGAGATGGTGCTGAGCTGGAGCTGATTGGTTCCTGAGATGGTGCTGAGTCTTTCCTGATTGGGTGCTGAGATGGTGCTGAGTGTTTCGTGATTGGGTGCTGAGATGGTGCTGAGCTGGGGCTGATTGGATCTTGAGATGGTGCTGAGTCTTTCCTGATTGGGTGCTGAGATGGTGCTGAGTCTTTCGTGATTGGTTCCTGAGATGGTGCTGAGTGTTTCGTGATTGGGTGCTGAGATGGTGCTGAGCTGCAGCTGATTGGGTGCTGAGATGGTGCTGAGTATTTCGTGATTGGTTCCTGAGATGGTGCTGAGTGTTTCGTGATTGGGTGCTGAGATGGTGCTGAGCTGGAGCTGATTGGTTCTTGAGATGGTGCTGAGCTGGGGCTGATTGGATCTTGAGATGGTGCTGAGTCTTTCCTGATTGGGTGCTGAGATGGTGCTGAGTGTTTCGTGATTGGGTGCTGAGATGGTGCTGAGTATTTCGTGATTGGGTGCTGAGATGGTGCTGAGCTGGAGCTGATTGGGTGCTGAGATGGTGCTGAGTGTTTCGTGATTGGGTGCTGAGATGGTGCTGAGTCTTTCGTGATTGGGTGCTGAGATGGTGCTGAGTCTTTCGTGATTGGTTCCTGAGATGGTGCTGAGCTGGAGCTGATTGGGTGCTGAGATGATGCTGAGCTGCAGCTGATTGGGTGCTGAGATGGTGCTGAGCTGGGGCTGATTGGTTCCTGAGATGGTGCTGAGCTGGAGCTGATTGGGTGCTGAGATGATGCTTAGTCTTTCGTGATTGGTTCCTGAGATGGTGCTGAGCTGGAGCTGATTGGTTCTTGAGATGGTGCTGAGCTGGAGCTGATTGGGTGCTGAGATGGTGCTGAGCTGGAGCTGATTGGTTCGTGAGATGGTGCTGAGCTGCGGCTGATTGGTTCCTGAGATGGTGCTGAGCTGGAGCTGATTGGTTCCTGAGATGGTGCTGAGTCTTTCGTGATTGGTTCCTGAGATGGTGCTGAGCTGGAGCTGATTGGGTGCTGAGATGGTGCTGAGCTGGAGCTGATTGGGTGCTGAGATGGTGCTGAGTCTTTCGTGATTGGTTCCTGAGATGGTGCTGAGCTGGAGCTGATTGGTTCGTGAGATGGTGCTGAGCTGGGGCTGATTGGTTCCTGAGATGGTGCTGAGCTGGAGCTGATTGGTTCCTGAGATGGTGCTGAGTCTTTCGTGATTGGTTCCTGAGATGGTGCTGAGCTGGAGCTGATTGGTTCTTGAGATGGTGCTGAGCTGGAGCTGATTGGGTGCTGAGATGGTGCTGAGCTGGAGCTGATTGGGTGCTGAGATGGTGCTGAGCTGGGGCTGATTGGTTCCTGAGATGGTGCTGAGCTGGAGCTGATTGGTTCTTGAGATGGTGCTGAGCTGGAGCTGATTGGGTGCTGAGATGATGCTTAGTCTTTCGTGATTGGTTCCTGAGATGGTGCTGAGCTGCAGCTGATTGGTTCTTGAGATGGTGCTGAGCTGGAGCTGATTGGGTGCTGAGATGGTGCTGAGTGTTTCGTGATTGGTTCCTGAGATGGTGCTGAGCTGGGGCTGATTGGGTGCTGAGATGGTGCTGAGCTGCAGCTGATTGGGTGCTGAGATGGTGCTGAGTGTTTCGTGATTGGTTCCTGAGATGGTGCTGAGCTGGAGCTGATTGGGTGCTGAGATGGTGCTGAGCTGGAGCTGATTGGGTGCTGAGATGGTGCTGAGTCTTTCCTGATTGGGTGCTGAGATGGTGCTGAGTCTTTCGTGATTGGTTCCTGAGATGGTGCTGAGTGTTTCGTGATTGGGTGCTGAGATGGTGCTGAGCTGCAGCTGATTGGGTGCTGAGATGGTGCTGAGCTGGAGCTGATTGGGTGCTGAGATGGTGCTGAGCTGGAGCTGATTGGGTGCTGAGATGGTGCTGAGTGTTTCGTGATTGGTTCCTGAGATGGTGCTGAGCTGCAGCTGATTGGTTCTTGAGATGGTGCTGAGCTGGAGCTGATTGGTTCGTGAGATGGTGCTGAGCTGGGGCTGATTGGATCTTGAGATGGTGCTGAGTCTTTCGTGATTGGTTCCTGAGATGGTGCTGAGCTGCAGCTGATTGGGTGCTGAGATGGTGCTGAGCTGGAGCTGATTGGGTGCTGAGATGGTGCTGAGTCTTTCCTGATTGGGTGCTGAGATGGTGCTGAGTCTTTCGTGATTGGTTCCTGAGATGGTGCTGAGTGTTTCGTGATTGGGTGCTGAGATGGTGCTGAGCTGGAGCTGATTGGTTCTTGAGATGGTGCTGAGCTGGAGCTGATTGGGTGCTGAGATGGTGCTGAGCTGGAGCTGATTGGTTCGTGAGATGGTGCTGAGCTGCGGCTGATTGGTTCCTGAGATGGTGCTGAGCTGGAGCTGATTGGTTCCTGAGATGGTGCTGAGTCTTTCGTGATTGGTTCCTGAGATGGTGCTGAGCTGGAGCTGATTGGTTCCTGAGATGGTGCTGAGCTGGAGCTGATTGGTTCTTGAGATGGTGCTGAGCTGGAGCTGATTGGGTGCTGAGATGGTGCTGAGCTGGAGCTGATTGGTTCGTGAGATGGTGCTGAGCTGGGGCTGATTGGTTCTTGAGATGGTGCTGAGCTGGAGCTGATTGGTTCCTGAGATGGTGCTGAGCTGGAGCTGATTGGTTCGTGAGATGGTGCTGAGCTGCGGCTGATTGGTTCCTGAGATGGTGCTGAGCTGGAGCTGATTGGTTCCTGAGATGGTGCTGAGTCTTTCGTGATTGGTTCCTGAGATGGTGCTGAGCTGGAGCTGATTGGTTCCTGAGATGGTGCTGAGCTGGAGCTGATTGGTTCTTGAGATGGTGCTGAGCTGGAGCTGATTGGGTGCTGAGATGGTGCTGAGCTGGAGCTGATTGGTTCGTGAGATGGTGCTGAGCTGGGGCTGATTGGTTCTTGAGATGGTGCTGAGCTGGAGCTGATTGGGTGCTGAGATGCTGCTGAGCTGCAGCTGATTGGGTGCTGAGATGGTGCTGAGCTGGGGCTGATTGGTTCCTGAGATGGTGCTGAGCTGGAGCTGATTGGGTGCTGAGATGATGCTTAGTCTTTCGTGATTGGTTCCTGAGATGGTGCTGAGTGTTTCGTGATTGGTTCCTGAGATGGTGCTGAGCTGGGGCTGATTGGGTGCTGAGATGGTGCTGAGCTGCAGCTGATTGGGTGCTGAGATGGTGCTGAGTGTTTCGTGATTGGTTCCTGAGATGGTGCTGAGCTGGAGCTGATTGGGTGCTGAGATGGTGCTGAGCTGGAGCTGATTGGGTGCTGAGATGCTGCTGAGCTGCAGCTGATTGGGTGCTGAGATGGTGCTGAGTGTTTCGTGATTGGGTGCATAGATGGTGCTGAGCTGGAGCTGATTGGGTGCTGAGATGGTGCTGAGCTGCAGCTGATTGGGTGCTGAGATGGTGCTGAGTGTTTCGTGATTGGTTCCTGAGATGGTGCTGAGCTGGAGCTGATTGGGTGCTGAGATGATGCTTAGTCTTTCGTGATTGGTTCCTGAGATGGTGCTGAGCTGCAGCTGATTGGTTCTTGAGATGGTGCTGAGCTGGAGCTGATTGGGTGCTGAGATGCTGCTGAGCTGCAGCTGATTGGGTGCTGAGCTGGAGCTGATTGGGTGCTGAGATGGTGCTGAGCTGGAGCTGATTGGGTGCTGAGATGGTGCTGAGTCTTTCCTGATTGGGTGCTGAGATGGTGCTGAGTGTTTCGTGATTGGGTGCTGAGATGGTGCTGAGTATTTCGTGATTGGGTGCTGAGATGGTGCTGAGTGTTTCGTGATTGGGTGCTGAGATGGTGCTGAGTCTTTCGTGATTGGGTGCTGAGATGGTGCTGAGTCTTTCGTGATTGGTTCCTGAGATGGTGCTGAGTCTTTCGTGATTGGGTGCTGAGATGCTGCTGAGCTGCAGCTGATTGGGTGCTGAGATGGTGCTGAGCTGGGGCTGATTGGTTCCTGAGATGGTGCTGAGCTGGAGCTGATTGGTTCTTGAGATGGTGCTGAGCTGGAGCTGATTGGGTGCTGAGATGGTGCTGAGCTGCAGCTGATTGGTTCGTGAGATGGTGCTGAGCTGGGGCTGATTGGTTCCTGAGATGGTGCTGAGCTGGAGCTGATTGGTTCCTGAGATGGTGCTGAGTCTTTCGTGATTGGTTCCTGAGATGGTGCTGAGCTGGAGCTGATTGGGTGCTGAGATGGTGCTGAGCTGGAGCTGATTGGGTGCTGAGATGGTGCTGAGTCTTTCGTGATTGGTTCCTGAGATGGTGCTGAGCTGGAGCTGATTGGGTGCTGAGATGGTGCTGAGCTGGAGCTGATTGGGTGCTGAGATGGTGCTGAGCTGGAGCTGATTGGGTGCTGAGATGGTGCTGAGTCTTTCCTGATTGGGTGCTGAGATGGTGCTGAGTCTTTCGTGATTGGGTGCTGAGATGGTGCTGAGTCTTTCGTGATTGGTTCCTGAGATGGTGCTGAGTGTTTCGTGATTGGGTGCTGAGATGGTGCTGAGCTGGAGCTGATTGGGTGCTGAGATGCTGCTGAGCTGCAGCTGATTGGGTGCTGAGATGGTGCTGAGTGTTTCGTGATTGGGTGCATAGATGGTGCTGAGCTGGAGCTGATTGGGTGCTGAGATGGTGCTGAGCTGGAGCTGATTGGGTGCTGAGATGGTGCTGAGTGTTTCGTGATTGGTTCCTGAGATGGTGCTGAGCTGGAGCTGATTGGGTGCTGAGATGATGCTTAGTCTTTCGTGATTGGTTCCTGAGATGGTGCTGAGCTGCAGCTGATTGGTTCTTGAGATGGTGCTGAGCTGGAGCTGATTGGGTGCTGAGATGCTGCTGAGCTGCAGCTGATTGGGTGCTGAGCTGGAGCTGATTGGGTGCTGAGATGGTGCTGAGCTGGAGCTGATTGGGTGCTGAGATGGTGCTGAGTCTTTCCTGATTGGGTGCTGAGATGGTGCTGAGTGTTTCGTGATTGGGTGCTGAGATGGTGCTGAGTATTTCGTGATTGGGTGCTGAGATGGTGCTGAGCTGGAGCTGATTGTGTGCTGAGATGGTGCTGAGTGTTTCGTGATTGGGTGCTGAGATGGTGCTGAGTCTTTCGTGATTGGGTGCTGAGATGGTGCTGAGCTGGAGCTGATTGGTTCGTGAGATGGTGCTGAGCTGGGGCTGATTGGTTCCTGAGATGGTGCTGAGCTGGAGCTGATTGGTTCCTGAGATGGTGCTGAGTCTTTCGTGATTGGTTCCTGAGATGGTGCTGAGCTGGAGCTGATTGGTTCTTGAGATGGTGCTGAGCTGGAGCTGATTGGGTGCTGAGATGCTGCTGAGCTGCAGCTGATTGGGTGCTGAGATGGTGCTGAGCTGGGGCTGATTGGTTCTTGAGATGGTGCTGAGCTGGAGCTGATTGGGTGCTGAGATGATGCTTAGTCTTTCGTGATTGGTTCCTGAGATGGTGCTGAGCTGCAGCTGATTGGTTCTTGAGATGGTGCTGAGCTGCAGCTGATTGGTTCGTGAGATGGTGCTGAGCTGGAGCTGATTGGGTGCTGAGATGGTGCTGAGCTGCAGCTGATTGGTTCGTGAGATGGTGCTGAGCTGGAGCTGATTGGGTGCTGAGATGGTGCTGAGTGTTTCGTGATTGGGTGCTGAGATGGTGCTGAGTGTTTCGTGATTGGTTCCTGAGATGGTGCTGAGCTGGAGCTGATTGGGTGCTGAGATGGTGCTGAGCTGGAGCTGATTGGATCTTGAGATGGTGATGAGTCTTTCCTGATTGGGTGCTGAGATGGTGCTGAGCTGGAGCTGATTGGGTGCTGAGATGGTGCTGAGCTGCAGCTGATTGGTTCGTGAGATGGTGCTGAGCTGGGGCTGATTGGTTCCTGAGATGGTGCTGAGCTGGAGCTGATTGGTTCTTGAGATGGTGCTGAGTCTTTCCTGATTGGGTGCTGAGATGGTGCTGAGCTGGAGCTGATTGGTTCTTGAGATGGTGCTGAGTCTTTCCTGATTGGGTGCTGAGATGGTGCTGAGCTGGAGCTGATTGGGTGCTGAGATGGTGCTTAGTCTTTCGTGATTGGGTGCTGAGATGGTGCTGAGTGTTTCGTGATTGGGTGCTGAGATGGTGCTGAGTGTTTCGTGATTGGTTCCTGAGATGGTGCTGAGCTGGAGCTGATTGGGTGCTGAGATGGTGCTGAGCTGCAGCTGATTGGGTGCTGAGATGGTGCTGAGTCTTTCGTGATTGGTTCCTGAGATGGTGCTGAGTGTTTCGTGATTGGTTCCTGAGATGGTGCTGAGTCTTTCCTGATTGGGTGCTGAGATGGTGCTGAGTGTTTCGTGATTGGGTGCTGAGATGGTGCTGAGTGCTTCGTGATTGGGTGCTGAGATGGTGCTGAGCTGGAGCTGATTGGTTCCTGATTGTGTGCTGAGCGGTAATGAGTCTGTCCTGGGCAGGTGATGGGGGGAGGGCGTTCCCACACGTGCCAGCTGTTGCTGGTTCCCTACCCTGAGCAGGAGTTGGAGGGGCTGGCCAGGATGGAGAGGGTTCTCCTGGTAGGAGAGGGTTCTCCTGGTGGAAAAGGTTCTGCTATTTTTCCTGCTGGGATTCCGGGTCTCCTCATCTCTCCTCACCCCCTTTTTCCCTGTTTTCCACCCGCAGGAAACACAGACTGACAAGAACCCAAAGTGCCTTTTCCCCGGTTGTGTTCAGCCCCCTCTTCACAGGTGAGGATTTGGGGGGCATTTGTGCAAGTTTAGGGTTTTTTGTTTTGCTGTGGGACGAGCATGGAATGGGGAATTTCGTTTTTGTGGGATCCCATGCTGGGATCTCTGTGGTGTCCCTTGGTCCTGCTGGGCTCAGACCCAAAAGGAGACGTCTGATTATTTTTAAAAATACTTTAAAAATTTAAATATTTTTTAAATGGTCATGTCCCTGGTGCCGCACATGGATCAGCTCTGCTCAGTGTGGAAATTCCATGCTGGGAAAAATCCTTTGGAGCCTCCTCATCCCATCCAGCTGCTGGGCTTGGGGCAAATTACCTCAAGACCTCTCCTAAGATGGAAAAATTTATCTTGGGAGTGTCGAGTGGGAAAAACCTCTCAAACCCTGCAGAATTCCTTTCCCTGTGCTCATCCTGGGTCCTAACTGGGCTTTTCTCTCTCCCTTTGGCTTTTCTCTCTCCCTTTTCCAGGTGAGACGGTGTCACTGGTGGACGTGGACATTTCCCAGCGAGGGCTCAGCTCCCCTCACCCTCCGACCCCTCCGCCGCCGCCCCGCCGCAGCCTCAGCCTGCTCGGTACTGCCCTGGGATGGTCCTTGGAACCTTGGGAATTGTCCTTGGGAACCCAGGGATGGTCTCTGGGAGCCTGGGGATGGTCCTTGGTGCCCTGGGATTCATCCCTGGGGCCCTGGGAATTCCAGTGCTGGAAAAGGGATCCCTGCCCTCCAGCAGTTGCCAAACCAGAGAGGAGGTGCTGCTGGGAATCCCCCAATTCCCTTTTCCAGGCAGTTTTCTCAGACTCTGAAGCTCCACTGGGAATTCCCAAATTCCCTTTTCCATGCTGTTTCCCCAGACTCTGCTGGGAATCCCAAAGTTCCCTTTTCAATTCTGTTTTCTGGGGCTCCACTGGGAATCCCCCAGTTTCCTTTTCCAGGCAGTTTCCCAGGCTCTGGGGCTGTTCTCTCCCTGTTTCCTGACCTGTCTCTGCTCTCTCCTAGATGATATCAGTGGGACGCTGCCTCCGGCTGTGCTTGTGGGGCCCATGGGCTCTTCCCTGCAATCCTTCCCTCTGCCTCCGCCTCCTCCGCCCCACGCCCCAGGTCAGCTCAACTTGGCCAGCCCTGCCCCTGTCCTCCTGGAATTCTGCTTTTTCCCCTCCTGGAATTCTGCTTTTTTCCTCTCTTGCAATCTCCACCTTTTCCCTTCCCGGAGTCCCCACTTTTTCTCTCCTGCAGTTTCCAGGTGTCTCTGCGTGACAATGACAGTGACAGTGACCTGTGTGTATCTAGGTGACAGTGACAATGACCCTGGCTGTCTCTGAGTGACAGTGACCTTGGCTGTTTCTGGGTGACAACGGCAGTGACAATGACCTTGAGGGGGTCTCTGTGTGACAATGACAGTGATAGTGACCCTGTCTGTCTCTGTGTGACAGTGACAATGGCAGTGACAATGGCAGTGACCCTGTCTGTCTGTCTGTCCTGCAGAGGCCTTTCCCCGGATCGTGCCCCTGCGTCCCCCTGAGGCCCCGGGCCAGCCGCCCCCTCCTCACCTGCAGTGTCCCCTGGCCCGGCCTGACCCCAGCAGCTTTGCTGCCAGCCTGAGGGAGCTGGAGAAGGTACCGGGGACGGGGGGAGAGTCCGAGCCCTCAGGGATTGGGATTGGGAATGTGGCTGCTCAGGGCCTGGGTTTGGGAATGTGGCCCCTCAGGGCCTGGGACTGGGAATGTGGCCCCTCAGGGCCTGGGGTTTGGGAATGCGGCCCCTCAGGGACTGGGACTGGGAATGCGGCCCCTCAGGGCCTGGGTTTGGGAATGCGGCCCCTCAGGGACTGGGACTGGGAATGTGGCCCCTCAGGGACTGGGGTTTGGGATTCCGGCCCCTCAGGGCCTGGGACTGGGAATGCGGCCCCTCAGGGACTGGGGTTTGGGAATGCGGCCCCTCAGGGACTGAGATTTGGGAATCCATGATTTTGGAGTCCAGGAAAACCGTTTCTGGGTGTGGAAGGGGGCTCTGGATCCCCTCTGTCCCCTCAGGGCCTGGCGTCCCCTCTGTCCCCTCATCCCTCAATCCCAACCACCCACACTGGGTGCAATTCCCCGTGAGGATCGGCCTCCTGGGAGCATTCCCGAGGGAATCCCCATTCAGCTGCCTCTCTCTGTTCCCAGTGCGGGTGGTACTGGGGCCCCATGAACTGGGAGGACGCCGAGATGAAGCTGAAGGGGAAACCGGACGGGTCCTTCCTGGTGCGGGACAGCTCCGACCCCCGCTACATCCTGAGCCTGAGCTTCCGCTCGCAGGGCATCACGCACCACACGCGCATGGAGCACTACCGAGGTGAGTGATTCCCAGAATCCCAAATCCCATCCATTCCCCGCTCCAGGGGGTTATAAACAATCCGTGCACCACACGTGCATGGAGCACTACTGAGGTGAGACATTCCCAGAATCTCAAATGCCTGGGGTGCCATCCATTCCCTGCTCCAGGGGGTGATTTATAACCCACCCACCACACGTGCATGGAGCACTACCGAGGTGAGACATTCCCGGAATCCCAAATCCTTAGGATGCCATTCTCAGCTCCAGGGTATTAGAAATCACCCACCACACCTGCGTGGAGCACTACCGAGGAATAAAGAGCTGCCTGTGCCTTGGAAAAATGGGGAAAAAGAACTGTCAGTGCCTGGAAAAAGTGGGAATAAGGAGCTGGCAGTGCCCTGGAAAGCTGGATTTAAAGGAAATTCTGACAAATGGAGATTTCAGGGAGAATTTATTCCTGGGAAGTGTGGTCAGGCATTGGAACAGGCTGCACAGGGAGCCCCCATCCCTGGAAGTGTCCAAGCCCCACGTGGATGTGGCACCTGGGGACACGGTGATGCCGGTGTCCAGGGGACAGCTGGGATCTTTCCCAGCCTGCAGAATTCCCAGATTTTGGTGGAGGAGGGGGTATCCAGGCTGGTGTGACCCACTGGGAGCTCTGGTGTCCCCAGCTCCAGTTTCATCCTGGGCCACCTGGCGGGTCAGGTGACAGCACGGGGACAAAGGGTGACCCAGGGCCTAATTAACAATCCTGTTAATCAAGGAGCAGGAACATGAAACTGCTCCCGTGGAAAATGATCCCAGGGCTGGGAAATGGGGACAGCAGCACCTGGGAATGCTCCAAGGTCACCTTCCCTTGGGGATGTTGGGATGGAGAAGGGACACTCCAGAATATGAGAATATTTAATTTCCTAGATATCATAATATTAAATTAACTAAATAGAAGAATATTTGATTGATTAAATAGAAGAATATTTAATTTATTTAATATAAGAATATTGAGGAGTTTAGCTGTTCCCAAATCTACAAAACAGAGCCCATTCCAGGGGATTTTGGCAATGCCACATTTGTCCCTGAGCATCCTTCCCCTGTTGTTTCTGTGATGGTGCTGGGGAAGCTGCTTTTCCAAAAATTCCTTGGAATAACTCCCCTATGCTTTCCCAAAATTCCCCTGGAATAACGGGAATTCTTTCTCTCGTGGAAGGGACCTTCAGCCTGTGGTGCCACCCCAAGTTCGAGGACCGCTGCCAGTCTGTGGTGGAGTTCATCAAGAGGGCGATCATGCACTCCAAAAATGGGAAATTCCTCTACTTCCTGCGCTCCCGGGTCCCAGGTGAGCCCGGGAATGGGATGGGCCAGGGATCCAGGTGAACCTGAGAATGGGATGGGCCAGGGATCCAGGTGAGCCCGGGAATGGGATGGGCCAGGGATCCAGGTGATCCTGATAATGGGATTGTCCAGGTGAGCCCGGGAACCTAATCCTGCCTAATCCTGATCTCCAAAATCTCCTTTTTTTCCCCCAAAAGGTCTCCCTCCGACGCCCGTCCAGCTCCTGTACCCCGTCTCCAGGTTCAGCAACGTCAAATCCCTGCAGCACCTTTGCCGCTTCCGGATCCGGCAGCTGGTCCGGATCGACCACATTCCCGAGCTCCCGCTGCCCAAGTGAGTGCTGGGGTTCCCCCTGGATCATCCCTGGAATTCCCTCCCTCCCTCCCAGGCAGCGGGAAGGGATCTGTGAGCTCAGATCCGGGAGGGAATCGTTGGCTTTTCCAGCTTTGGGGTAGCGGGATTGATGTCCTGTCGGGTTTTGGGGTGCAGTGGGAATTCTGAGCGGCTTGGGAATGAGGAATTCCCTGCTGTGCCAGAGCTTTGGGAAGCAGCTCCTGTTCCTGTGGAATTTCAGAGGAGTTGTGACTCTGGGATCCTGCTCTTCCCAGTGTTTTGCCAGGGAAGAGGCTCTGGGTGTGCTTCAGGAATATTGGAAGGTTGTGGCTCAGGGATCCGGCTCTTCCCGGTGTTTTTACTGGTGTTTTTTCTGGTTGTGTTTTGGCAATGTCAGAGGGGCTGTTCTCTGGCAATATTGGAAGAGTTGTGGCTCAGGGGTCTGGCTGTTCCTGGTGTTTTTCTGGGGAAGAGGCTCTGGTTGCGTTTTGGGAATGTTTAAGAGGGGCTGTGGCTCAGGGGTCTGGCTGTTCCCAGTGTTTTTCTTGAGAAGAGGCTCAGGCTGTTTTTTGGGAATATTGGAAGGGCTATGGCTCAGGGATCTGGCTGTTCCCAGTGTTTTTCTGGGGAAGAGGCTTTGGCTGTTCTCTGGGAATGTTTCAGAGGGGCTGTGGCTCAGGGGTCCGGCTGTTCCCTGTTTTTCCAGGCCCCTGATCTCCTACATCCGCAAGTTCTACTACTACGACCCGCAGGAGGAGCAGTACCTGTCCCTCAAGGAGGCGCAGCTCATCTCCCGACAGAAGCAGGAGCCCGAGTCCTCCACGTAGCGGGGCGGAGCCGCCCGGCGCTGACGGTGCGGGAATGGGCCGGGAACGGTCAGGGAATGGTTTTGGAACGGTCTGTGGATGGTTTGGAATGGTCTGGGAATGCCCCAGGAATGGCTGGGAATGGTGCCTCATCCCAGGATCCAACCCTGTTCCCTCAGAGCCCCCCTGGGGAAGCCGTGGCTGCTCCCTCAGGGGTCTTTTACCATTCCCGAATTTTCTCTGGAGAAGAGAACAAGGCTTTCTGGCCTTCTCCCATTCCCAGTTTTCCTTGGGAAGGGGAGCAAGTCTTCCTTGCCCCTTACCCTTGGGAATGGGAACAGAATTCCTGGCCTTTTACCATTCCCAGAATTTTTCTTGGAGAGGAGAAGAAGGTTTCATGTTCTTCTACCATTCCCAGCTTTCCTTGGGAAGGGGAACAAGGCTACTTGGCCTTTTACCATTACCATCTTTCCTCGGGAAGGGCCCAACCCTGCTGCTCCTTCTCCCTTGTTCCCATTCTCTCTCTCCCCGAGATGAGATCCCTCCCAATCCCATCTGATCCCAGCTCCTGGTGTTTTTTCCCAGCAGGAATTTGGTTGTTGCCCTCCTGCCACGGTGGGGAGGAGGCCGAGCTGCTGCTGCTGCTGCTCTTTTCCTGGAGGAGAGGGCCCAGCGTTCCCGGGAGAGCCAGCAGAGCAGGATCTGGAGCCCCGGCTCCTGGGAAAAGGAGTCCTGGGGGAGCCCAGCCCGGCCCCGCGGATCCCCGCGGAACAAAGAATGTCATGGCACTATTCCCGAGTTTTCCTGGAAGATTTCAGTTTGGATGTCTCTGGATTTTAAATTTTTTTTTTTTTTTGGATCATCAGCATGAGGAAAAACTGGATTTTCTGATCCCACTGGATTTTCAGATCCCACCTTCGGAATTTCCAGGTGGGGGAGAGGGAGGAGAAAAGGGGGAATTCTCTGGGAAGATCCATCTGCTCCCAGGCGTTGTGGCAAGGCTTTGATCCTCTCTGGAGAGCTGCAAACGGAGCCAGGGGCTGGAAGAACCCCTGGGAATAAGCCAAGTGTGGAGTTCTGAGCAGCTCCACAGCTCCCCCGCTTCCCAGGATTTGGGAGAAGAGATCCAAACCCTCCAGGAGAGGCAGGAGCGTCCTGGGAGAAGCTTGGAGCCGTGGAAGAAGGAAGGAAGGGAGGAAGGAGGAGCGTGGGATGTGGTGGATGCAGAGGGAGCGCTGCTGGAAGGTTCCCCGGAGCCCTGGGAAGGTGGAGGAGCTGCTGCTGGAATTGCTGGAGCTGCCCCTGGATCCTGCAGGGATCCCAGACCCGGGATGGGCTCTCCCAGCCTGTCCCTGGTGGGTTCCAGAGGCTGGGAATGGAGTGAATCCTCCTGGAGCAGCTCCCTCCTCTCCCTGGGACATCAGGAACAAAATCCAGGAGAGTTTTGGCTCTTTCCCTGATTTTGGGCCCAAATTCCCTCCATCACCCCTTGGGATCCCAGGCTGCTCCATCCCCCAAGCAGGAATTCCATGGGGGAGCTTCCAGCTGGGAATTCTGGAGAATTCTCCCCTGCCGTGTGTCGAGGAGCAGCATTCCAGTGCTCTGAATCCGAGGAATTGCCCCATCCTGCTGGATCTGAGGATTCCCTGGAGCCCTGGGACAGTCCCAGTCCTGGAATTCCTGTGGATTTCAATGGAAAAAATTCCAAGCTGCTTTGCCACAAAAGGTGCTACAAATCCTGCCTCCTCCAGCTGGGATTTGGAGGGGGAAAAAAACCCCCGCAATCCTTAAAAAAGTTCCAGGTTTCTGGGTGAAACTGAGCCTGAAAATCCATGGAAATACCTCATGGCACTGTGTGAGGGAAAACCTTCCCAAGAACCAGGCCTGCTCCAGCTTTTCTTCCCAAAAAAAAAATCCTGGAAAAAAAAAAAGGAAAAGTGGATCAGGGATGGATAGTGGGATGCAGGGAATTGGGAAGGTGTGAGTCAATCCAGGACAAATCCAGGGAAAATCCTGTTCCCTCCATGGGGTGGTGGTGACAGCATTGCCACTCTTCTTTGGAATGGGAGAGGTTTGGGAAGGGGAGCAGCAGATCAGGGAAAAGCAGAGCTGGGGGGCACTGGGAATGGGAGCTGGGGATTTTTGGGGTTTTTGGGGTCTTTTTGCCATCCTGGGGCGCTCCCAATCCCCCAAAATCCAGCCTGGGGTGCTCCCAGTGCTCCCAATCCAGGGCTTCACCCCAAATCCCAGGAATTTCACGGGATCCAGCCTCACCTTTGGAGGAGGAATGAGCAGATTCCAGCAGCTCCCAGGGCAGGAGATTCCCAGGATTTTGGGAATCACCCTTTGGAATTAAAAAAAAAAAAAATAATGCAGCTTTTGCTTAATTTTATTTTTTTTTATCCCCCCTTTTTTTAATTTTTAATTTTAATTTTAATCTTAATTTTTTTTTTGGTGTGTGCTTAATTTATTCAAATAGTGGCTGTATAATTTATTTTCATAAATATATGAGAAAAGTTACTAAATGGTTAAAAAAATAATAATAAAAAAAACAAACGGACTTTGCAGGCCAATCTTTCAGATTTAATGAAAAAAATTAATTAATAATAATAATATTAATAATGATGGGTTTTGATATGAACGACAAATGCACTTTTGGGTGTGTTTGGTTATTTTTTGGGGTGGGGAGCTGTGGGGTTTGTGTGTAAATATTGTATTTATAGGCATGTTTGGCCTCTTGTGGGGGATTTTAGGAACTGCTGGTGTGGAATTCCTGGATTTTGGGGGTTTTGGGGTTTTTTTGGGGGTATTTTTTTTCCCTACAGGGTCAGCCAGGAAGAGCTGACTTGGTGTTTGTAAAACTCATTTTTAGCGTCCATTTTGGGGTTTTTTTTGGGTTGTTTGGGATTTTATTTTTTTGCTGTGGGAGGGGTGGGAAGATAAGAGAGAAAGGGTTTGAAATAAAAACCTTGGAAATTGTTGGATGTTTTTTGTGGTGAGTTCTGAGTCCTTGACCCCCTCCAGGTTCCTTTTTTGGGGCATCCTATGACCCCAAAATCCATCGGGGATCTCGGGGTCCCCCCCTGGCTGCTCCCAATACCCAAAAGTAAATTTGGGGGATTTCTGGGTGCTCCCAGTACCCCAAAACCCATCGGGGAGCTCTGGGTTCTTCTGGCACCCCAAAACCCATTCGGGGGGACCTCTGGTGCCCCCAGTAACCCCAGGGATATCGGGGTGCCCCTGGTGCTCCCCGTTCCCAAATCGCTGTGGGGTGGGCTGAGACCCCAAGGGCTGGAGAAGCCCAAACCCCCCTCCTGACCCCCAATATCCCCCTCCTGACCCCCAAAATCCCCTTCCCCATTTCCCTCCTCCCAAATCCCCCTTGGGCCACGCAGATCAAAGGTGGAATTGGGGCTGGGGGGGTTTGGGGGGGCTCCGAGCCCCAGGGAGCTTCATCCCCTTCATCTCTACCCCCTCCTCCTCCTCCTCCTGCACCCCAAACCCGGGGCTCCCTTTTGGGGTTTTTATTTCTTGGTTTTTGGGTCCCTTTGGCTGCTGGCACGCCCCAGGGCCCCTCGGGGCAGATTTGGGGTCCCTGGAATGGGGCGGGTTTGGGGTCTCAGGGATGGGGAGGTTTAGGGTCCCTGGGATGGAGAATGGGGCAGATTTGGGGTCCCTGGGGTGGGGATCGGGGCAGATTTGGGGTCTCAAGGGTGAGGAGGGAAGCAGATTTGGGGTCACCAGAATGGGGCAGATTTGGAGTGCCTGGGATGGGGAATGGGGCAGATTTGGGGTCCCCAGGATTGGGAATGGGGCTGATTTGGGGTCCCCGCGGCCCCAGGAAGCTTTGGGGCGCCGCCTTCCCGGGAATGCTCCGGGCATTCGGGGCCCCGGGATGCGCCCCCGGCCCGGAGGAGCCCGCGCGGACCCGGGCACCCCCTCGCTGCCCCCGGGCCCCCCGAAAAAGCCGCTTTTGTGCGGCCGCCCCCGAGCGGGGCTGGGGAGCGCCCGGCCGGGCCGGTGTTTTATTTTTGCCTCTCATTAGCATCAGAAAGCGGCGCGGCCCCGCGGGCGGCGCGGCCCCGGACAAAGGGCGCTTTCTTCCCAGCCCCGATCCCGCGGGCGCTGCTCCCCCCGGGACCCCCGAGAGCAGCCCCGGCCCCGCGGGGTCAGGGACAGGGGGGCGGCTGCTGGTGGCGCCCACCCTGGGGAAAACATTGGAAAAAATCCCGTGGGGTGGTGGGGTGTTGCTCCCCGCCCTTAAATCCCACCCCAAAATTCCCTTCCCAAATCCCACCCCTAAATCCCACCCTTGGCCGGCTCTGCCCCAGCCGCGGGGGTGGGTTTGGGGGGTCCGGAGCCCCAGTTTGGGGCTGGGTCCCGTGGGGGGTGTGGGGTGGGGGCGCTGCCCCTCCTCGGCCCAGTGTGCTGAGGGGAGTGTGGGAACGAGGGAAACTGAGGCACGGAGTGGGATCAATCCAAAGGAAACTGAGGCACGGGTTGGGATCAGTCTAAGGGAAACTGAGGCACGGGGTGGGGAGGGAACGAGGGAAACTGAGGCATGGCACAGGATCACTCCAGGAGAAACTGAGGCACAGCATGGGATCAATCCAAGGGAAACTGAGGGACGGCCCAGGCCCGGGGCAATGCAGCCAGGGCCATGCCCGGGGATGGGAGGACGAGGTGCCCGCTGTCCCTTCTGTCCCCGCTGTCCCCGGCCGGGCGCTGGCAGTGCCCCAGGGTCAGCGCTGGGCTGGCACCAGTTCCGAGCTAACATTTACCCAGCCCCGAGGGCTTGGCTGCCACCCCGGGAAAGGACAGGCCAGGGGCCACCAACCCAGCCCGGGGGGACAGACAGTGACAGTGCCACTGCCACCGTGCCAGCCCTGCACTGGCACTGCCAGGGAGAGCCAGGGCCCCTGGGAAATGGGGAGAGGGAGGGAGGTGTGGATTGGGAACGGACGGATGGATGGATGGATGGATGGACGGATGGAGGGATCCATGGATGGATGGATGGATGGATAGGTGCATGGA